ATCCTTTTCACGTAAATTACTTTCCTATACAACACATTTAATTTCCTGTCGTGTGAATTAAGTGCTACACTGTATAAACCCAACAGTCACTCATGTATTGTCATTAAGATCGATATAAAACAATATTTATTTACCTGTAATTTTTAAGATATGCCAAAATGTATTGTAATTTTCCATTGAGTTTGGGTATGTGAAGTAAAACCATATCATGAAAACTGCGACAAACAAACAAAAATAACAATTTATAATTATAACAACTTTTTGTATTACATAATTAATAAAAACAAAATAATGTTTGCATTTGTAATTTGAATGAAATAAAAGTATTTAGAAATATATTTACTGTGATTTGGAAAGAAACAGACGGCGAATATGACGGACAAAATGAAGACCATTTTGGCCACTCTTGTCCTCAGCTCCAAGTGTTTGAATTGTTGATTGACATTAAGTCCGCTGATTTGTTGAGAGCTCTTCACCAGATGTCTGGCCATAAGGGCGTAAAAGGAGCCGATCGTCACCAGAGGAATGATGTAAAAGAAGATAAACTTAAAGCTAACTATCATTTTTGGGTACCAATGACCCAATTCTGCCGGAAATGGATAGCATATATTGATATGGATATCATTTGTAATGTTATATCGGATCACTTGGGAATTATAAGCTCCGGGAATGGCCAACAGCACCGATATTATCCACAGAGCGATCACCACTAAAGTGGTCGACTTTTTAGACATGTTATCATTGATTTTGCTGAAGGGTTGGGCGATAGCGACGTATCGGTCAAACGATAGCACACTTAGAGTCAATACCGTAATACCAATGGACACGTCGCGCATGAATTCACTGAATTTGCAGATAAACTCACCGAAAGGCCAACTGTCCAGAGTGTAGATCAGACTTATGAAGGGAACGGTTCCCACAATCACCAGAAGGTCGCCCACAGCCAGGCATAGGATGAAAGTGTTGGGAAGATTTCTCATGGATTTGTGGCGAATGAAAATGTGAATTAAAGTTCCGTTTCCTATGAAACCGACTATAAATATGATGGAGAATACGAGGGGAACGATATATGTCTCCAATCTATCCTCGTATGGCATATAATCTTCATTATTAGTTGAATTCATGGTTAGAAGCGTATGATTATCGGCGCCAATAGTTTCGTAAAATTGATTTTGTGGTAAACTTGTTGTCACATAAAAGTAATTTTCTGTTGCCTCCAGTTTCCAACTGTTATTCATTTCATTGCTTAACTTAATAACCATTTGAGACATTATTTTAGTGATTAGTTTTGAAGCAATTGTTATTCGACCAGAATTTGACAAAATATATGAAAAATTGTTTTGACAAACATTTTGAAGCACTAAAATAGACGAGAAAAGACATTCACTAACAAATAACACATCATTGGAGTCGATCTGAGAGTGTGTTTAGTATTGGAAATTCAATTTGTGACAAAAGAAGAAGAAATGTATTTTGTTGTGGAGAAGATGTGTATAGTTTGTAGTCTGAAGTGGAGTGAGAACTTACTGATGGTTTTGTTTGCCTAAGTTTTGTCAGGGCTTAAGGTTTTTCTCGCACACAAGCAGTTAATGTCTGCGCACAAGAAGCACAAGAACCCCAACGAAAATAATATTATTATTCATAGGTATCCCACATATACAACACATGTAGAAAACTAGATATTACTTGCGTTTTTCAACCTAATCTAAACTCCTTTTCTTCCACTTAGAAATGTGTGGAGAGTTTAGAAAATGTATTGTCGTATGAAATACAATATATAAGATGTTTGCTCTGAATTTATAGAATTGTGTATTGAATGATGGATTTCACAGAATTATATCGATTGAACAAATGTGTGGATTATATTTGATTTAAATGTCGAACGAAGTGATAGTTTTCATTACAAGTCAGACATGTGTTGCAAAGAACAGGAAAAAAATATATCCTCTATTAAAAAAACATTTCACTTTATAATTTCCATCACAACTATATTTATGCAGTATTTTCGCAGATTTTCCCACTTTTTGTCAGATAACAAAATGTCAAACTTGTTGTGAACATTTATATAATCATATTAAACATAAATAATTTATTTTTTGCTTTGAAGTGATTTGCTTTGGGAGCGAACATATCAGACACAGACACAGAGGCACATCAAATAAAATTAAAAATCACTTGTTATATATAAAGTAACTTTTTTGTGTTAAATAAACATTTTCTCACACTTTTAAAAATAAAGATTGCCAAAGAATCTACAATTTTGCATAATTAAGTGCAATGCGATAACACATGATAAAAAAGTAATTTACATTTTTTATTAACGAAAACTGATTTTAGGTTTTTTATCGTTATCTTCTCAGATCTTACAAAATTGTTAGATCTTCTCAGAGATCTGAAAAAAATTTAAATAGAAATTTAAAAATACAGTAACAAATAAAAATAATTGCTTTCGTAAATGGTTTTATTGTTATGATGTGTAAATTTAAGATTTTATATGTAATAATAACACAAATGAAATTATTGTTAGCGAAAGTGTTGTAAAATTGTAATCAATTTATACACACTATTAGACACTGTATTAGCGTTATATGTAATAACAAAACACTATATTATTATTTATTATTCATAAAACGCAATGAAACTTAAGAATAGGAAAGAATTTTATAAATGTATTTATAATAAGTGCAGAAATTAATTATCTCTAATATCGATAAATGTTAAAACTTGTAAATAATAATTTTATGTCCATTAGAGTAAATGTTTAATTCATAAACATTTCTTTGTTGGGAATTTACCATATTTTATATACAAAATTTAATAACATTATGAATTAGTATTTCTTAGAATGGGTGAAAATTTTGTCTTTTTTAAATAACTCGTTATAGAGATACCAAACATGTGTTTCTTATAATGTCGTGTTTAATGGTATAATGCATTAGAAACGACAGTCAAATGAATGGATCGGCAGTAAAATGAAGGACTTCTAGTCAATTAAAATAGTTCCGTATATACTATAAGTG